GAAAAGAACCAAATATTTCTCACATAAAAATATTTGGATGTGCCGTATATGTACCAATTGCTCCACCACATCGTACAAAAATGGGTCCTCAAAGAAGGCTGGGAATTTATGTTGGCTTTGATTCTCCCTCAATTATAAAATATCTTGAGCCAATGACTGGTGATTTATTCACAGCTCGGTTTGCTGACTGTCATTTCGATGAGACAGTATTCCCAGCCTTAGGGGGAGAAAATGAGAAAAAGGACCCATATACGAAAGAGATTACATGGAATGCAACAGGATTATCTTTTCTTGATGCAAGAAGTGCAAAAGATAATTCATTTACAAAATGTTGCAAATCAATTGCCTGACGCATTCACGGATTCGAAGAAAGTGACAAAGTCACATATTCCTGCTATGAATGCTCCTGCTAGAATTGAAATTCCTTCAGAGAAAAATGAAAAAACTCTTGCAAATGAGTCTTCAATACGCAAGAAGCGTGGCAGACCACTTGGTTCAAAAGATGTAAAACCAAGAAAACTTAAAAGGCAAGAGACAATACTTGAAACAAAAGACGTTCATTCTTCAAAGAAAGAAAATGAACGAACCGAGCATGTTGATATAAAAAATAATATCAATGAACAACTTGTTTCAAATGAGGATTTAACCATCTCTGAAGATGCGAATAATTCAGATGAAGATAGAAACGTTGATAATTATGAGATTTCAATAAATTACGTTTCTACGGGATTACAATGGAACAGAAAAGATGTTCATGTTGATGATATATTCGCATATGCCATTGCCACAAACATCATGGATCAAAATGATGACATTGAGCCAACTTCAGTTGATGAATGTCGACGTAGACATGATTGGCCAAAATGGAACGAAGCAATTCAGGCAGAATTGAAATCACTTGAAAAACGGAGTGTTTTTGGGCCTATAGTTCCTACGCCAAAAGGCGTGAAACCAGTTGGTTTCAAATGGGTTTTTGTGCATAAGCGCAATGAGAAAAATGAAATTGTGAGATATAAAGCCCGCCTCGTTGCCCAAGGTTTTTCTCAAATCCCGGGGATAGATTATGAAGAAACTTATTCCCCAGTAGTTGATGCAACTACGCTGAGATTTTTGATAGGCATGTCTGTCTTTGAAAAGCTTCAAATGCGTTTAATGGATGTAGTGACAGCATATTTATATGGATCTCTCGATACTGACATATATATGAAAGTTCCTGGAGGGCTAAAATTGCCTGAGGTTTATAGTTCAAAACCTCGAGAGATGTTTTCCATAAAATTGGAAAAGTCACTATATGGACTAAAACAATCTGGCAGAATGTGGTATAATCGTCTCAGTGAATATCTGCTCAGAGAAGGATACAAAAATGATCCAATTAGTCCATGTGTTTTCATCCGTAGATCTAAATCAGGCTTTGCCATTATTGCAGTATATGTTGATGATTTAAACATCATTGGAACTTCTGATGAAATAGAAAATACTG